GGCTGCGTAAGGCTGCAGACCCTGAATTGGGATACAGCCGTTGAGGAGCTAATTTAGCCATTTAAATCAGCTGTGTTGGTTCGAGGACACATCTAAAACCTGCAGGGACACCGGCCCTCGTGGATTGAGATTGCCCACCCCTGTTATAGAGTCTAGCTGCCAACTGTAGACCGTAGTTCACGTGTATAGAGCTGCCATATTTAGGAAACCTGGCATGCTTGCTTTATGTAAAGGAAACAAAAGCTGGAAGTTTCTACTTTTTGCATTTTTAACAGATCTCCACAGACTTCAGTTGCAATATGGATGCTACATTTTGGCACTACATTTGGATGGTAACTGAAGATATCCTCTAGGCCTAAAAACATTCTGTTTCCACTCGGCAGGATACAGCTTCTATAATTCTGTTATACCACTAGCAAAATATAGGATGGACTTGTTAACTTCAACTGCATTGATTTTATGCAGAGGATTACAGGACTTGACAGTTACCCACTAGAAAGAGATATTTACAAGCCTGTGGAGACACGTTATCATTTTTAATTACATTAAAAGCCACAAACATTTCCATGTACCTGTGAGAACCAAGAGCATTTTTCATTTCCACTTACCGTATGTTATGTCATGTGCCCTCTGTAATGCTTTTACAGCTGCACAAGAAGGATCAATGGCTTCTTCAAATTGCTTCTGTATCTTCTTACCAGGAAGCTCCACTGTACCAGGAACTACATCCATATGAATTTGTTTGTGTCATTCATCCTGAGAGCTGCAGCTATCCTTTCTAAGGAGATCATAATGCACATCATGTACTCCAACCTACCAAAGGACGACCCTGGATGGAACACCTACTCGAGCTCTCCGGTACACTAACCATGGTGTTTTTTTCTAAAGACTGTTAATAATGTCTTATTTGTTTGTGGTTTTCAGTGGATACAGTTCTGAGACTAATCTACCTGAAACTTACACTTTAACAGATAGTGATAATGTGCAGATTGTCCAAGGTGTGCATGGAGTACTTTGTGGCCTGTAACTACTTCTGGCTTTTGGTGGAGGCCATTTTTCTTCATACGCTGCTCTTCACTGCTGTGCTGACCAAGAGGTGTCTGCTGAAGAAATACATGCTGCTAGGATGGGGTGAGTCATGCATGAGCTATTTGTGTGTATGCTTTTATATTAGGAAGTAACCTGAGCCCAAAGCTCACTTTTGTCCAGATAAGTTTCCAAATTAACATGTTCACACAAGAATGAACAAACAAATGAACATGGTAGCATGGAGGTCTGAGAGCAGACCACAGCAACCTCCCTGAACAGAGTCCATAAACCATCACAGTGACAGACATCCAAGAAAGG